GCACACTAGTACTTGAGTTTGGTGGTTATTGCATTCTCTCCCTGAAGGCAAGCTAAATAGAAAACCAAGTTGGGTTTTCTGCACAAGGAATATGTGCGAGGGAGCCTGGGCATGGCTTTAGTGACTGGTAGTGCCAGGCTCTAGGTCCTGTCACCAGGTTGGAGCAGTGGTTTTCACTAGTTTGGAGCCCTGCTTCCTCAGCTGTGTAGAAAGAGCACTGCCTGATTATTTCTGGGGATTCTCTATGATCAGACATAGTTTGTCAGTCCTCAGCATTCCTATTTTCTCTGGCCCTCTGAGATTGTGGTCAGGTTTTTTTGTTTTGTTTAGGTTTTGGCAAGGGAGGGGGTGGTTCCTCAGAACTCTGCAGCCACTCAAATGTCTGTTATCTCAGGGCTGGCTTTGGTATAGTTGCTAGGATTAGTGGCACTTACATGGCATGAGGTGCATGTACATTGGCTGGGTGTGCACTTACACTCTTTGTGGCGAGCTTGCTTCAGTCTTGCATTGTTAGGGCCCGGTCCTCTCAGCTCTTGTGCTTGCTTACTGCAGCTGAGCTCCCAGAAGCATTTCGGCTTTATCCTTATACAAGAGCTGAGGGTTCATGCACAGTTCATGTCTTTGAAACGCCTCCTCGGCCTTATTGGAAAGAAGGCCCCTTTTATATTTTTGCCACACAGCACTTTCTGCTGGGCCTATAAGTCTTCAATGGGCACACCCCCACCAGAGCCAGAGCTGAGGCTGATTCTTTTTTAACTTGGCTGTATTTGCCAATGCAGTGGGTTTGCCTTTAACATCTTTTTTTTTTTTTTGCCAATCCTGGGGGCTTGAACTCTGGGACTGGGCACTGTCCCTGAGCCTCTGTGCTCAAAACTAGCACTCTACCACTTGAGCCATAGTGCCACTTTGGCTTTTTCTGAGTAGTTTATGGGAGATAAGAGTCTCACAGACTTTCCTTCCTGGGCTGACTTTGAACCACAATCCTCTCAGCCTTCTGAGTATCTAGGATTACAGGCATGAGCCACCGGCACCCTGCCTTTAACATCTTTTTTTTTTTTTTTTGGTCCGATCGTGGGGCCTGAACTCTGGGCCTGGGCACTGTCCCTCAGCTCTTCAGCTGAAGGCTAGCACTCTACCACTTGAGCCACAGCACCACTTCCAGCTTTTTTTTTTTTCTGCTTATGTGGTGCCGAGGAATCAAAACTGGGGCCTCAAGCATGCAAGGCAAGCGCTCTACCACTGAGTCACCTTCTCAGCCCTTCTTGTTTTTCTTAAGTGTCCTCTAATTGTATAAGAATGTTTTACCAGGGGCTGGGAAGGGGGCTCAGTGGTAGAGTGCTTGCTTTGCATGCATGAGGCCCTGGGTTCGATTCCTCAGCACCACATAAGCAAAAAGAAAAAAGCCAGAAGTGGCACTGTGGCTCAGTGGTAGAGCGCTAGCCTTGAGCTGAAGAGCTGAGGGACAGTGCCCAGGCCCAGAGTTCAGGCCCCACAACCGGACCCCAAAAAAAAAATGTTCAATCAACCATCCTGACTAGGGGAGAAGTCAACTAATGTTTTGGTTAGATTCGACTCCATTCAGAGCATAGGAGTGCATGGATGTAAGCCTCTTCATCATCTGGCTGATTCTCTGCACTACCTCTAACACACATAGACTCACTCCTTCAGAAGAATTGGCTCAGGGTTGAGAGAAATTTTACTGATCAGTGGACTGGAATAGTGTTTGCCTGCTCCATGAGGGAAATGAAGATTTTTTTTTCTTTTTCTTTTTTTAAATTTTGTCTGTCATGGGTCCTGAACTCTGGGCCTGGGCACTGTCCCTCCGCTTTTCAGCTCAAGACTAGCGCTCTACCACGTGAGCCACAGCGCCACTTCTAGCTTTTCCTGCTTATGTGGTGCTGAGGAATCAAACCCAGGTCCTCATGTAATGCAAGCACTCTATCACTGAGCCACCTTCCTAGCCTCCCCACCCCCTATTTTTTTAACACCAGTCCTAGGCTTGAACTCAGGGCCTGAGCACTCTCTCTGAGACCTTTTGCTGAAGGCTAGTGCTCTACTACTTGAGCCATTGCGCCACTTTTGGTTCTTTGAGTAGCTAATTGGAGATAAGAATCTCACAGACTTTTCTGCCTGGGCTGGTTTTGAACTGTGATCCTCAGGTCTTAGCCTCCTGAGTAAGTAGAATTACAGGCATAAGCCACCAGTGCCTGTGAGAGTTGGGGAAAAGAAAGCATCTGCTTTACAAATTCATTTCCACAGAGTTTTGGGGAGTGTTCTGTCTTAGTTCCTTGGTTGATATGAAATGTTAATATGATCTGAAATGTCCAGCTATCTGACACTTGACTGATTCCAACACTGCTGTATTGCCACAATGCATAAGCAAGGTGTCTGCACTTTACCAGTCATTAGCTCACAGAGGAGGGGTGAAAAGAGAGTTCTTTTTGGAATTACTAGTGCTATTAAAATGTAATTCTAGGCTTTGGAAGGGGGCTTAGTGGTAGAGTGCTTGCCTTCTTTTGCATGTAAGAAGCCCTGGGTCCGATTCTTCAGTACAACATAAATAGAAAAGGCTAGAAATGAAGCTGTGCCTCAAGTGGTAGAGTGCTAGCCTTGAGCAAAAGAAGCTCAGGGACAGTGTCCAGGCCTTGAGTTCAAGCCCCAAGACTGGCAATAAATAAATAATAAAAATAAAATATAATTCCTAGCCAGGTGCTGGTGGCTCACACCTGTAATCCTAGCTACTCAGGAGGCTGAGATCTGAGGATCATGGTATAAAGCCAGCAGAAAAGTCCATGAGACTTATTATCTCCAATTAACCACCAAAAAGCCATAAGTGGAGGTGTGGCTCAAATGGTAGGGAACCAGTTTTAAGCCAGGCCATGAGTTTAAGCCCCATTACTGGTAACCCCCAACCTATCCCCCAGACAAAGGTAACATGATTGTCTTTTTTCCCCAAGAGGCACAGTCTCTTCTTCATCTCCACTCCCAGTTTCCTACAGGACATGTGCTATTATGAGTTTCTCCTTTATTCTCTTAAGTTGTATGAGTATGTGTGTGTATGGCTTTTCTTTATACTTGTAACACATTGTTCTGCCCCTTTGCTTCCCCCTTATCTTTTATTTTGAATTGTGTAATGCCCTGCCTCCATCCTCTCTTACCAGCTGGTTGTTTCTAGTATATGGTTGGTGTTACTTTAATGATATTCCCTAATAAAGTAACTTCTGTTTTTCTCCTTTGAGTATATTTAACAAATACCCCTGTGCATTGGCTCTTCTTTGGATTTTTATTACATTTGCTCCTGAAAGCAATTGCTTAAAAGTTGTGTCTTGGGAGGGGCTGGGAAGGTGGCTCAGTGGTAGAGTGCTTGCCTTGCATATATGAGGCCATGGGTTCGATTCCTCAGCACCACATAAGCAAAAAAGAAAAAAACTGGAAGTGGCGCTGTGGCTCAAGCGGTAGATCACTAGCCTTGAGCTGAATTACTGAGGGACAGCGCCCAGACCCAGAGTTCAGGCCCCATGACTGGACCAAAAAAAAAAGTTGTGTCTTGGGATTTGGGTGCATGGCTCAAGTAGTAGAGCGCTTACCTCACATGTATGAAGCCTTAAGTCAGTCCTCGGTACTACCGAAAACTAAATGAGTTATGTCTCTATTCACGCAAGGCGTGGTGGGGGTGGGAAAGTGTCTGTCCTGCACATTTGCATTGGTGCCATGGGGAAGACTTAGGCCTTAAGGTATGGCTGGCCTCGAGCAGCAGGGTATCTGGAGACGGGCTTTCATTTCTTAGGACACCACTGAAATAACCAGCACTGACATCTAGTCCTGAGGATCTATTTGTAAATTCTAGTCAGATTTCTCTTCTAGTCACAGAATTGTTCTCTTTTTCTCTGCAGGCAGCCTCTAATGTATAGATGTGCCTTCCATACAAAAGGCCATATGTGGAAGGCCATGTGGAGAGAGTGGGAGGAGGCAGGCTCCTAGAGCCCTGCTTGGGCTGCAGCTGGCAATGCAGCTCTTGGAATCTCGAGTTGCAAGCCTGAATTCATTTTCTCAGAGTAAATCTATGTGCTAGATGACTTCCATTGTGTAGCACTGGTGTTCTTCCCACATAGGAACACATGCCTGCTTGTCCAGTAATCTCTTCTTGAGGCTTCTGTTCATACCATTATTTCTATGAGCAAGTGAGTTCCAAAATCCCAGCTGATGAGAAAATAAGTTCCAAAATCCCAGCTGGGAAATAATAATCTGTTAGTTGGTGTTTATGATAAAGTGTTGTGTGGTTACTAAATGAAACATCTCATGGATAAGGAGTAACTGCATTCTGACTGGAGGCCGAAAAGCAAAACTAGTTTTTAAAAGTAATTATTTGGGGTTAGAGGCGTGGCTTAGTTGGTAGAGTGTTAGCCAATCAACGAGAGTGTCAGATACTAAGTTCAAGTCCCCATCTCAAACCTGAGAAAAAAAGTAATTGTTTGCTTGAGTAAAAAAAAAGTAACTGTTTGCTTGAGACCACAGAGAAACTTAGAAAAGCGTAAGATGAATTTAGCTTCATCTACATGACTAGATCAGTAAGGAAAGAGCCAAGGTGTGAAAAAATGGAGGTCATGCATTTTGGTGGACTGATTAAAGTAACTCCATACCTCAAAAGATAGAAATACGCAGGCAGATGTTGTTGTTTTTGCCAGTACTGGGGCTTGAACCCAGGGCCTGGGCACTGTCCCTGAGCTTCTTTTACTCAGGGCTAGCACTATACCACTAGAGCCACAGCGCCACTTCCAGCCTTTTCTGTGTATGTGATACTTAGGAATCAAACCAGGGGCTTCATGTATGCTAGGCAAGCACTCTATCACTAAGCCACATCCCAGCTCCTGGAGGCAGTTTTGTAGGCAAATTGTGTGTAAAGATCTGGCAGAAAATCACCAAAAGAAATTTGGGGGAACCTGTCAAGAGTAGCGCCACCCAAGTGGAAAAGGCTGACCTGAGGCTCAGCCTGAGGAGCCATGAGGCCATGTCTGACCAGCACTGCCAGGAAGAGTGCTGCTTTGACTTGCTGTGCATTGGCCCAGGCTGAGTGCTGTTCAAAGTACAAGAGATAAAATGATGATAAAAATGAAGGGTTTCAGGCTGAGAAGTTGGCTCAGTGGTAGAGCGCTTGCCTCATATGCATGAGGCTCTGGGTTCGATTTCTCAGCACCACATAAGCAGAAAAAGCCAGAAGTGGCACTGTGGCTCAAAGTGGTAGAGTGTTAGCCTTGAGCTGAAGAGCTGAGGGACAGTGCCCAGGCCCAGAGTTCAGGCCCCACAACCGGACCCCAAAAAAAAAATGTTCAATCAACCATCCTGACTAGGGGAGAAGTCAACTAATGTTTTGGTTAGATTCGACTCCATTCAGAGCATAGGAGTGCATGGATGTAAGCCTCTTCATCATCTGGCTGATTCTCTGCACTACCTCTAACACACATAGACTCACTCCTTCAGAAGAATTGGCTCAGGGTTGAGAGAAATTTTACTGATCAGTGGACTGGAATAGTGTTTGCCTGCTCCATGAGGGAAATGAAGATTTTTTTTTCTTTTTCTTTTTTTAAATTTTGTCTGTCATGGGTCCTGAACTCTGGGCCTGGGCACTGTCCCTCCGCTTTTCAGCTCAAGACTAGCGCTCTACCACGTGAGCCACAGCGCCACTTCTAGCTTTTCCTGCTTATGTGGTGCTGAGGAATCAAACCCAGGTCCTCATGTAATGCAAGCACTCTATCACTGAGCCACCTTCCTAGCCTCCCCACCCCCTATTTTTTTAACACCAGTCCTAGGCTTGAACTCAGGGCCTGAGCACTCTCTCTGAGACCTTTTGCTGAAGGCTAGTGCTCTACTACTTGAGCCATTGCGCCACTTTTGGTTCTTTGAGTAGCTAATTGGAGATAAGAATCTCACAGACTTTTCTGCCTGGGCTGGTTTTGAACTGTGATCCTCAGGTCTTAGCCTCCTGAGTAAGTAGAATTACAGGCATAAGCCACCAGTGCCTGTGAGAGTTGGGGAAAAGAAAGCATCTGCTTTACAAATTCATTTCCACAGAGTTTTGGGGAGTGTTCTGTCTTAGTTCCTTGGTTGATATGAAATGTTAATATGATCTGAAATGTCCAGCTATCTGACACTTGACTGATTCCAACACTGCTGTATTGCCACAATGCATAAGCAAGGTGTCTGCACTTTACCAGTCATTAGCTCACAGAGGAGGGGTGAAAAGAGAGTTCTTTTTGGAATTACTAGTGCTATTAAAATGTAATTCT